TACCCCAAGAGAAGACACTACTTTTCCAACTCCTAAAATTCATGCCTTATATGCGCAGGGAATTTTATCCCGAATTCTAAGTAGGGATAAGTCAGCGTCTAACACGCGTTGTCGGTTTAGTCTTTCACCTATTGAAGAAGACACCAGAATCCAAGTCTGGAGACTTTTATCCCGAAGTCTAAGTAAGGATAAGTTAACGCCTAACATGCATTACCGGGTAGTCTATTCCTGTGAGAAAGATAAAGTCTACATATTCAATATCGTAGCACTAAGAGAGTTAACTACTAAGAGAGTTAACTCTCTTAGCATAACGTCACATGTGGAACGGACTTAAACAATCCTAAGTCTACGTCTAATACACGTTGTCGTTTAGTCTTTTCATGGGAGAAAGACAAAGTCTACGTATTTAATATTATAGCACTAAAAGAGTTAACTCTTTTAGCATAACGTTACGTGCGGAACGGATTTAAACAATCTGCATGCTAGCCCGACTCAAAAGATAGTCGGTAAAGGCTAATCAAACCCGTTAATGATGAGAATTTGTCAAAAATTCTATAAATACAATAGTCATTGATGCACCAGCTCTATTAATTAGTTCGTGACTCAAGGATCCGATAACTTTAGGATAAGATCCAGTCATGCAGATGAATTAGCTTTAACAGTTGGTCCTGCAGCCCTAACATTTAGATCCGTCACACTCCAACACCTTAAGAGCATAAACTGTGTAGACAACGGTCAACGCGTTATGATAAAAAGTCAATACTGATCAATGCAAAACCCTAAGGTTAACGCCGATCAACGCGTAGCCCTAGGTCAACGCCGATCAACGCATGACCTCCGATCAACTCCAAAGTTCAGATATGAATTTTTGATGAAGATAGCCAGTTCAAAGTCAACTCAATGACATGAGCTAAAACCAGCTCATCAGTTTCAATTCGAGACATCGACAACAGCCATACGATAAACGCAGCGCCGGAAAAATTTCATCTATTTGTCAAAATATTAAATAGACCAAAAATCGAAAAAGTCAAGAATCAAAGCTAACCACATGTCCTTTTTCACTGACTGAAGGTTGGACTGATTATATCCAAAGTATTTCAGGCTCTTCTATAAAAGAAACAAACTAAAATACTTTGGAGGGGTTATCTGTAGGCGTTAAAAATTACCTACAAATTCCCACACGTGGTTCGAGATAGAGAGAAGATGATAAACATTATTATCCAAATCAAGGAGAATTATCTGATGTCATAGAGAATCTAACAAATATATGAAGCGAGTTGATAAAGCATACAAATCAACGAGATGATACAATAACAAAGAAGCAACTCGACATGGGGTTACGTTTCACCCACAAAGGAGTAAGAACCACTCGTGTCTTGATCATCCCATAGATGTCTCACCCATGGGAGGTAGTAGAGATCTTCGTGAGATTTCTAACGCACCTTGGATCACTTCATTCCGAGGTCGGACGAGGGAGTTAGAACCAAAATACCCGAGATAGTACAGACTATTTCGCACCTGCGAGACACCAATTATGTCTTGCATATTTTGGCCATGATATGATTCGAATTTGAAGAATCTCAAAAGATAAAAGTTGTAGGTCTCTTTGTCATCTTTCTAACGCATTTTGAATCATATTATTCCAAGATCGTACGAGAAAACTACATCCCAAGATAGTCTCGGGCATCCTGAGGTAGTCTCGGGCGTCCCGAGATAGTCTCGGGCATCCCGACACAGTCTCGGGCGTCCCAGCCCCGAAAACATTGTCCGCAGCCTCCCAAACTGGTTTGAGGTTATCGTTAAACGTGGTTAAGTGGTTACAACTGAGGATAAGAACAAATCGTTTATTTTTATCTAAAAAACAGGGCTTCTGAAGCATATAAATACATCCCTAGGGCCTTCATTTGCACAGATCTAGAATTCTCGAGCTTTGGCGAAGCCCTGTCGGTTAGGAGACTGAAGGAGCATGAATTTTTAGAGAGGATAAGGAGATCTCAGTGACTCATTCAGTATAAAGAGGAATAGCTCGAGAGATCCGCATTCGGTTCATCTGCTTCCCTCGAAATCGTACCTAGCTGTGATTCTCGAGAAGAGTGGGTATCTCACTTTGCCGATATATTTGCTTAAGTTTCTTGTATCCTTTGCGAGGCAACGAAACCATTCTTTTGATCTGATCGCTCGGTGGCCCACGGATTAACCCCAACACAGGCAAAGATCCTGCGCAAGCAGAAAACCGATAAATGATCTCTGCGTGTGTTCTCAGTAAATCTTTCTGTTTCTTTTCATTGTAAGGAAAGTCTTATAAAAAGACTTAATTTTTCTTTTATTTTGAATCGTTGTAACGCTTGAAGTTGTAATGGATCCGAAAGCAATGAAACCAATTTCCGACGCGAACATTAAGTCCAGTGGAAAGTAACAAATTTTGGGATAAAGAGGGAGAGGGAATGATACTGGCACCTAATATTGCAAAGAGGAAAATGGGGAGGCCTGAGACTGCAAGAAGAAGGGACCCTAATGAAGAATCAAGGATAATATATAAGACTTCAAGGCAGGGAATACCAAAGAAGTATGGGCAATGTGAGTCAACTGACCATACAAGGAGGAAATATCCAAATCCACCCCCACCTGCTCAAACAACAAGCACTGAAAATATACAAGTAAGTTTATCTTTTGGAGGATATGTGAATTTATTTTTCCATTATAATATCATATGTGTATATTTTTTACTGTTTATGCACTTTTCAGACATTACAAGTGGCAACTGAAGGTACAAGTCAAACCAGAAAGAGAGGGAGACCAAAGAGGAGCAAGAATAGGATTGGTCAATCAGTAGAGGAAATGGCAAGACAAAATATTTCAATACCAACATCAATGTTATTAGAGAGAGAGATAGAGGTAGAAGCAATAGTTAACAAGGGGTTTTAGGTACAATTTATTTTTAATGTTAAATTAAATGCATTAGCCATATATACATTATATGCATAAGTATAGTCTACATTTTGTGATTGTTTGCTGAATCCTAGGTGAAACCCAGTCACAAGTTTTAACTTTGGGGAGGGGAGGAGACAGAGGGAAAGGCGGCGGGAGGACTATTCACAATACTATGCCTGAAGGATGTGGACTATTAGGGGGGGGGAGGGGTATATAGAGCTACAAGTCACACAGAGACCACAATTATCCAAGGACCATCAACTCAAGCATCAGTCAAATTTCAATCAAATTTGAATTAAGTGGATGTAATTTCTCTTTGTTGGTTGGTTGGTTGTTGGAAATGTTTAGACATTATCTACATTTTGTCTAGTTCAAATGACATTTTATGTATGCTACATGTTATTTTATGCACAAATAATGTTTATGTATGGTATAAAATTAATGATGCAAATAGTTTTGTATGTTTTTGGTTTCTGGTTTGCGCAGGTTTGAAGTTGAGTCCAATATTTAGTTTCTGGGTTTATACAGGTTTGGAACTGATGTTGTTGTTGTTGTGGGTTTGCACAGGTTTTAAGTTGTTGATGTATGATCCCACCAGGTTTTGTACATATAGCAGAGGCGATCATGTTGTTGTGTCAAAGGAACATGCTTTAAAAGCTACATCACAAACAATGCATCCGCATCAAAATGAAAAAAATTTACAACATTTCATTTGAAGAGTACATCATACACCGTTACATTGCCATAAACGAAAGCATCTCATACAATTACAGCTTCATACTCATACTATTTACAACAAACAACCCTAAGCACATTACAACAACTCCTAAAACCAAAATTACCATCTCATACAATTTGAGCTTGTTCTTTTGAAATTTGATCAGATCCTCACATCTTGTTCTTTCCATCTTTAGGTTTAAAATCTCCAATAAATAAGCATCAGCCTCTCTTTGGCACATGCGTAGCTCTTCTTTAGTCTTGGCAATATCAGCATGACCTTCTTTTATCTCATTCTCACCACGTTCAATCAATTGATCCTTCAATATATCATTGTTCCTCATGTTTAAGATTTATTCTCTCAATGGAGGGAACAAGTGAGATGCCACATTACACAAATGACCGTCAAACCATTCCCAAATATGACAACCACCATTCTAAAAATTAACATTTAAAAACATACTATTAGACATAACAAATCAAACAAAATTTAAAACTTGAACATTAAAAAAAAAATTTACCTCATAGTTTCGGTATCTGTAGAACCTCCTCCCGGGGTTTGCATCTGTCATTGATGTATAGTAGTCACATTCCGCTCCACAATGACAAAATTTTACCCCGTATCTCTTTGCTGCTTCATTCCATTTCCTAATACAACTCAAATTGTTGAAACCGAAACCATGCCTGTAGTTTATTCCAAATCTATTCCAGCTTGAACCTGAACTTGAGCTTGACGAGGCCATGTTGGGGCTGCCACTAATTTGAATTAGATTTCCTAGCTTTTGAAGATCTGAATGAAAGTGGAGGAGGCAGGATCTCAAACCCTAATTTCTAGTTCGTCCCCAATTTGTGCGTGAGTGGGGAATGAGAAAGAGGAGATTTTTAACTAACTAACCACGTCATTAACATCCTGTCATGTTAGCATCCATGTCACCGCTAATTATGCCACGCGAGCCACTCGTAGTTGGTTTTTGACCGCCGGCGAGAAGAATGAGCCTTATTGGCTAAAAGGCCGAGAAAAAAATACCTTGTTGTCACCGAATTTTTTAAAAATACTAAACCGGCGAGCATAGTCGAATAAAAATACCAATTTGATAATTTAGCCGTTTTCAATGATTTTAGTGAATGGTTTCGAAATATTAAAGATTTAAGGGGCTAATGATAAAAAAACCTATATTATTTTGGTCCACGAATAAGTGTCGTCACTATGTTGATTGACGAGCAAACAAGAGAGTGGGACCCAATGCTCTCCTCTCCATTCAATCTGGGCCCACCATTGTACCCAACGAACGGCCCCCACCTACTTAACCCTTTCTTGAAGATTACTCCTAAAATTTTCAACAACCGCGCTTCTAATCCTAAACAAATAATTGTCAGCTGATCCCAACAAATCAAATCTCCCAAATTGTAGGGTTAGGGTTTCAGAAATGGACCAAGAGTCCTCGGTCTGGGATTGGGGAAATCTCCTTGATTTCTCTCTCGAGGACGCCGATCCCTTGCTCCTCCCTTCATGGGATGTCTCCGATCACCACCAGCTCCCCTCTCCCCACCCCACACGCCACCGCCAGCCGCCACCGACGCCGCCGGCGGTGGCGGCGGAGGCAGCGGAGGCGGAAGGATCTCCATCTCAGGGGAGCGGCGGGAAAGTTCGGAAGCGAGATCCGAGGTTGGTGTGGCGAGAATTTCTTGGCGGAAGGGTGGCCATGTGCTTGCCTGAGGTGGACGAGATGATGCTGAGGGAGGAGGAAGAGGCGGCAGGCGGCGGCGGAGGGAGGGAAGAGTTTAGGTTTAGGAGAAGGAGGGCGGCGCTGGTCGGCCGGGACGGTGGCGATGGTGAGGTGTCAGGTGCCGGGGTGTGAGGTCGATATCAGAGAGCTGAAAGGGTATCACCGGAGGCACAGGGTTTGTTTGCGGTGTGCTAATGCTCCATCGGTGGTGATCGAGGGGGAGGATCGCCGGTACTGTCAGCAGTGTGGCAAGTGAGTAATTTTGTTTAGCTTTACAACCTGTGGCTTTTACTGAGAAGCTTTTGGTTTTTACTGTGTTTTCAGCTTACTTTTTGTACCTACAGTTGCTTTTTTATGTTAACTGATGTGTAGAACAAAGATATCTTATCTCTGAATGAAACCTGCAACATCTCATAAAAGTATCTAATCTAGATCAAAACTAGATCATTTCATCACTTAATGAAATATTAGGTGTAGGGATTAGTAGTCGTGGCGTTATTCTTCTGACTCCTGGCAAGTATCAATTAAAGCCCCCCCCTCTGCGGGTGATAACACAGAGGTGTATGCTCTTCTCTTATGTCAATTGTCAAACCATCAAACTTTTATCACCCAAACTTAGGTACCAAACCTTCTCTGTATTTTGAGCTTAGAAAACTTATAGCGGACCTCCTTGTACAATATCTTACCAAGGGTAGGCGTAGGGAATATTAGTGCGCTTATCCTCGAGCACAACATTGTTTGTTACATGATTGTAGCCAATAGATATACCTCATGTCAATTGACCATTAGGTTTATTATGATCCTTATTTCATTATTTTGCTTTGTTTATGAACTTTTTCCCACATGGGGGTTGATTGCCAAAACTTTTTGAGTGTCTTATGGGATTCTTGACTTTGAGTTGCAGTGTAGAGCTTCAAGTGAAAGTTAAATTTACTTGTTAAGCCATTCCATCTCAAACTTTTCGGCCTAAGGAAAATGTATATTGAAGTTCAGGTAATTTGGCTTAAAACAAAATCCATATTTAACTCTTGAGCTGTTTGTCTGAAGACCCAACTTGACAGAACTTGGCTTGTTTTAAACATCCATACCCTATACTTGAGAATTGCAAGGGGTCAATTGCTTATTTTTGGTTAGTAATCACGATAATTAATCAACTTAGTCAACATATGAATGGTCATTGAATTTTCTTTGAGTTGGCAATATTTTGGAAATGTTTAAAGTGGTGTTTGGGAGGGCTTATTTTTTGAAGCTTATAAGCTATGCTAGCTTTTGGCTTTTATGATTTTTTTATAAAACTAGTACGGATAGAAAAATAATTTGTTTTGTCAAAACTAGCTTATCTAGATGTGTTTATAAGGTAGTTTATTTGAGATTCACCACACTTGCAGATATGGAAAAGCTAGTTTAACAACTACTTTGACAAAACAATAGGCTTCTGCAGACACCCTCTAAGTGGTGAAGAGTTTCCACAGAGTGTAAAATCTAATTACAATTCTTTTTGATGGTAAATTTTGTCTTTTCATGTAACATATGTTGGTAGTCAAGGGCATGCATGTCTTATAAGGCCCATAAAATGTTATCTAATTCACCTGTGAACCCAATTTTAAATGCTCTTTTTGATGATCAATTGTATTTTCAGTGCAATATATCTAGGTAGTCAAGTGTATACATTTCTTATAAAGGCCGACAAATGTTATCTAATTCACTTTGGAACCTCGCGAACCATTACCTAAGTCATGTATCGTATTCGTGTTGCATTTTTCCTGTGTAGGTTATCAAAATTTATTACCCAAAATATTGAGGAGAACTGATGACTAGTTGATTCACTGAGATTTACTGATGTATATTTAGCCTTTTTTCACAATAGATATATTTGTATTTTTGAGACTTAAAGTGACTAAATTTAGTTTTGAACGTTGAACTTAGATTAGTTGACGCATTCAGGATTGGATCCATATTTGTAAATTAAAGTTGTTTGTTTTATGTTGTACACGTGTCCCTTTTTAGTTGACATACACAACTAATCCATGCATAATTTTCAAAACGACCTAGCTATGCTCTGACGCATTCAGGATTGAATCCATATTTGTAAATTAAAGTTGTTTGTTTTATGTTGTACGCATGTCTCTTTTTAGTTGACATACACACAACTAATCCATACATAATTTTCAAAACGACGTAGCAATGCTCCAAAGTATACTAAGGGCCTGATACGGTTTGGATTAAGTCTACCAGTACATACCATTAGTGGCGGATCCAGAAAATTTTCCTTTTTTTGGGGGTGAATTTTTTTATCTAGAAAAAAAAAAATAATATTATAAAATTATGTACCTGATGAGAATGCCCTTGGTACACTTTATCAGTTCCATTTCATCATTTTTTGCTTGGGATTTCACTTAATTGTTGAAAAGTTAAATGTGATTTTGTTTTCTAATGGGCTGATCACTTTTCTATTAACTTATTTTGTGATTTTCAATTGGCTGGGGTGTAATTT